GCCATGCCCCGCCCCCCCACCCCCAGCATCCTGCTTGCTGGGCCAGGACTGGACAAGTGTGCGGATTCGAGGCCGGTCCCTTTCCAAGCAAATCCCCCATCTCCGCCCTCAGGGCTCGGGGGCGTGGCAGGGTTTGGTGTGTTACTCTTGAGGTCAGGTCCCCACCGACGCCCGAAGGGTCACCCCGGTCAGAGGGTCCATCTGGTCTGCAGGGCGGAGGGGCCAGCGTCCCCCTCGTTCGCCGGCGCTCTGCTTGTTTCCGCCGGAGGGCGCGGGGCCGCTGCTTCTTTTCCTGGGGGACGACCGGACGGCCTCGAGGGTGTCTCTGACCTTGGGGTCCTGCCAGCTGCTCCCAATGCCCGAGGGGCCGCCTGGCCTGGGGAAGCCACTCAGAGGGCGCCTGTGCCTTTGTCGTTTCAGACGCAGAAGGAGGGACACACACTGAGGCTGCGGCCGTCCACCCCTGCGGTGTGGCGGACTCGAGGCCCCTGCCCCGTGGCTCCGCTGTGTGGCCGAGCGTGGCCGAGCCTGTGGCAGTGCCGCCGCCATGGGGTATCCGGCTGCTGCAGCCTCCGAGAAGCCGGACCCATGGGCCCTGGACGGCCACGCCTGCCCCTCCTCCCAGGGCACCGGGGCGGGGCAGCGGGTGAGCGCTGGCACCCCAGGACAGGGCGCCTTGGCCAGGCTGGGGCCGCTGTGTCCCCAGCACTACCGGCGACGTCGCCTTGTGGGGTGTGGACTGGACCGAAATAAATGGCGTCTAAAAGCCTCAGGCCAGTTGATTCTCCAGCCGCGTCCAGACCCTGCGCATGAAGGACCCAAGGGACAGGCCGGCTGACCCCGGGGGGTGCCCTCTGTGCGGATGGCGACCTGGGGCTGAGCCCAGCTGCGCCTCCGGGGGCAGCGGCAGCCTGCAGGAGGCCAGCGCAGGCCGGGGCACCCTTCAAACCAGACCCACAGGCGCCCCGAGCGGCGCAGGAGGTGGGGGAGGGGCGAGGGCCCGGTCGCGGGGTGTGCGCCCGGAAGCTTGTAGCTCTGGGGAGCTCCCAGCCTCGGTATGGCCCGGGAGATGCTATGAACAGCCGTGACCCCCCCCATTGCAGCCCCCCTCTGAACAGGGTGCCCCGCCGAGGAATAAAAGTCCGATGCCGAGTGGGCTGGGGCAGGAGGCTTTTCCCTGCTATTTGGTTAAGGGCCCCGTTTTCATTTTGCTCTGGACCCCAAAAAGAAGACTGAGCATCCAGCCCCAGCTACTGGGCCTGCAGGGGCCTGAGTCCGGGGTCCCAAAGCCCCGGGGTTGGGGGCTGGGCCCTGCGTGGGAGGGGGGGGTCTCAGAATCCCTGGAAATTGCCCCAAGCGCCCGAGATGGGCCTGACCTGAGTTTCCTGAACCTGCGAGCCTGAAGTAGCACTTGGGGCCAGAGGGGAGAAGGGGTTCTGCCCACTCACCCCGCTCCCCGCACCTGGGGCTGTGATGAGGACAGTGGGGGTTCAGGGGTGCAGCTGGGAGTCAGGACCCGCCTGGGCACTCCCTGGATGCCAGTGGAGGCCTGGGGGGGGGTAGTCCACTGGGCAGCCCAGCTGGCCAGGGCAGCCCGGGCAAGTCCCCAGCCGCAGCCCCGCCGAGGCCACGGACTCCTTGGTCCTGATGTGGGGCCGGGGAGGGAGCGGGGCCCTGCAGGGGTGAGGTCCGGCGGGGTGGCTGGCGGCGTCTTACAGGCCATTGCTGCAGACGCCTATGTCCACGGGGCTGTGTGCGTCCTGTTACCCCGCCCCGCTGGCCGCAGAGCCCCGGGGCGGCGCCCGCGTAGTGCAGCAGCCTGCAATTAGGCTTAGAATAGCCGCTGCCCGGGACCGGAGGCCAGGGGGACTGAACAGCCGCGCCCAGCCTCGGCCCCACTGTGCCAGCGGCTGGCGGGAGGCTGTGGGGCTCTAGGCCTGCGCGGCCCGGGGGTGGCCAGAGTGCCGAGAACCCGCGCTTGCGCCACGCTGGGCTCAGAGGTCCCGCATGGGGCCCGCCCCCCCGCCTGGGGGGGAGGGGCCCCCGGCACCCACCCGAGAAGGGAGATGTCGCCTTGGGGCACCAAGGCCGGGCTCCGCAGGGGGCACTCTGGTCAGTGTGTGGTGCGGGTGGGGACCCCTGCGGGGCCAGCAGATGCCCTGGACCCTCCTGTGCCTTGTCTCTCAGAGGACGAGGCCAGGTCAGGAGCAGTAGGGGCGGGGCGTGTCTGGGAGGCCCCAGGGGTGGGGCTTGTCCTGGTAGGGGCGTGTCTGGGAGGGCCCAGGGGCGGGGCGTGTCCCAGGTGGTGGGGCGGGGCTTGTCCTGGTAGGGGCGTGTCTGGGAGGTCCCAGGGGTGGGGCGTGCCCTCGTAGGGGCGTGTCCTGGGAGGTCCCAGTGGGGCGTCCTCAGGTGGCAGGGCGGGGTGAGCCCCCTGGTCCCAGGCTGACCTGGGGTCCGCCTGTCTGTAGTCCCACTAGGGGACCAGGCCTCCGGTGAGCCAGGGGAGGCGGAGGACCCTGCGACCCTCACCTCCTCGAGCTGGCCCCATTGTGCCCGCTTGAGCCCTGAGGCCACGCTCACCAGGAGGCGGTCCAGGAAGGACCCTCTGGTCCAGGCCTGGCCGCAGCCGGCAGCTGCTGGGTGTCCCAGGAGGCGGGGACCACAGGTCTCCCCTTTTCGGGAGGGGAGACTGAGGGCCATGCCTCCCCTAGGTAGAGTCGGCCACTTGCTGTCCCCTGCCCCATGGCCAGCCGCAGGTGGTGGCCAGGCCCTCAGGGGACTGGGGTCTGGGACCCCTGTCTGGTCCCGGCTCAGCCGGCGGTCAGGCCCCGGGGAGGCACCACCCTGCCAGACCTGTGGCGCCCTCCAGAGATGGGGTGGTGTGTGTGGGGCTATGCCAAGGCCAGAGGTGGGGTCTCCTTTGAGCCGTCCACCCCGGCAGGACAGGAAGGCCTCTACTACCAGGTGAGTTTCAGGGGGACGTGCATCTTTTAAAGTTCAACTCGGGGCCTCCCTGGGGGCGCAGGGTTGAGTCTCAGGCCAACACACCTGAGTACACCCCTGCTAGGGAGTGACCCCAGGGAGCAGCAGACCTGTCTCCCCACTGGCCCCTCAGCCGTGCGTCTGAGTGGACCTGCCTGCTCTGGCCCCCACTCTGTCTCTGGGGCATCCTCTCACCCCCCACCTCTGGCCAGTCCCCCAGCTCCTGTGTGCACAGATTAAATCTTGATGAGACTCCATTATCAAAGGCGCCGGCTTGTGAGCTAGTGTGGGTGTCCCTCCAGGCCTGCCAGCCGCCCGCCCAGGCCTCCTCCCTGGAGGTGGCGGGTGGCACTTAGGGTGGGGGCGGTGGCTCTTGCTCTTGGCACCTGTGGGGCCCTGGCCGAGGGCGTCGGGCGGGAGGACCGGCATGAGTGGCTCGCCTGGCTGTGCCTGGCGCCGGCCCCATGGCCTGGAGCTCGCCACCGGCCAGTTCGTCCTCTGCCCGGCCCCGCCCGGACCCCGTAGGTTTGCACCGTCCAGTGCGGGCTGTGGGTGCTGCCCGCCCGGACCCAAGTCCAGGGGCAGGCGCCTCCCTCCACAGGGGCCCTTCCGCCGGGTGGGAGGAAGAAGCCGCCCCCAGGAAACAGGGCACGCCCCGCCCCTGGGACCCCCACCACCGAGGGGCCCGGCCTGCCCCGCGGCCACCGACAGCAGACACAGGACACCGAGCACGGCCATGCGGCCGGCCACACCGCTGTAAAGTATAACGTTTATTGCTTCGCTGGTTTGATACAGAACAGCTTTCTCCTCATTTTGAATCTGGAAGTACTAGCGACTGAACACAGAGAGGAACAAAGTACCAGACCCGACGTGTGATTCTGTTCGTGTGGCACAGACCAGTCTCGTGAAGAACAGGTAGCAGCAGCTTTCGAGTTCCCTTTAGAAAACATGAATTGTACGCGATTATTATCGTCTCCTGTTTAATGCATGGGCTGAAATCACCAGGGTCGACTTCCTTCTCGAGGACGGGAACAAGAGACGGTCAGAGGGAGGAGGGACCGTGGGTCTCTCTGGAACCGCAGCTCCCCGGGGGCCGCCTGGGGGCCGTGGCTTTGTTCCACAGCCAGGGGTTCATGTAGTGATTGAGTCTCAGCATTGTGTCCATAAATCAACGAGAAAAAAACAAAAGAGAAAAAAACTTGCACCTCCAAACACTTTTCAGAAGATCCATATATATATATTTTTTTGTAAAAGCCCTGAGAGAAGGAGAAAGAGAATCAAACACAGATAGGATCGAGGCGGCCGGACAGGCAGACGGAGCGGGGTTCACCCGGAGTCGGGACAATCACAAATTTCACAGTTTAATATTGGGGCGGGGCGGGACAGACAGACACTTCTCAACCTCACCAGCGAGACGTGGCAAGACCTCGTGACCGCACGGGCCACGGAAAGCTCGCGGCGGCCGTGGCGGCGACCGCAAGCCGCGGCC